GGAAATGACTTTTAAGATGTAGAATTTGAGCATAAGTGTAAAGTATTAGCTGGACTTCAACAGGGGCAGAAGAAGAGGAGTGGCTCTGGGATGAAAGGCACCATGGACAAGAAAAATAAAGGAAGAAGTGGAGGAGTACAAAGAATGTGCAAGAACGGAGGGTATTCCACTGAGGCTGAAACACAGGATTTGTGGGTGCACACAATATCTGCAGTCGTATCTTTTCTTTACAACTATACTACATTTAACACCACTGACAGTTTCCTCTACCAACTCTTCTCTCTTTAGTTTCCACGGTGCAGCATCTTGCTTCTCTTTCCTGCTCCGACCATTTCCATTAGTTTTCTTCTTCTTGGGGGTCCTCTCTCCCTCCTTCTCTAAGCAAACTTGTTTTCTCATTTTAGAAGCACTGCTCAGTTATTCTCATTTACTCCTTGTGTTCACTGTTATCTACAACAGGAGCTGGCCAACTTTTCTTGCAAAGGGCCAAATAGTAAATATTTTAGGCTTGGCAGGCCAAGAGGCAAAGTCAAGGATATTATGTAGGTACATATGTAATAAGAGAGAAAACAAATTTCCACACATTTTTATTGGCAAAATTAAAAATGGAATAATTGAGTTCAATGTTTGCAACATAGGTCTACTAACATGAGAAAAATGTAATTCTTTGGGGGAGCGGGAGTATAACAGTTTGCTTAATTGCGGCTCAAAGTTAGTGTTCCCTATCATCAAAATCTATGACAAATGTTCCTCTGTAAATGCTGACCTGTAATGAGATTTTATGTATTTCATCTATGAAAATATCTATTCACAAAGATAGGTACTGCCAAATACTGGTATCAAGTCATGAGCACAGAATTTTAATTTAGCATATTCCTCACTTGGAAGGCATTTATAGAATGCTATTAGCATTTTCTCCTGATATTTGTTTTTACACATGTCATTACACTGCAGATTAATCACTTCTAACTGAATTTTTTAACGCTGGTTGTAACCCACTAAATTGATTTTATGACCCTAATGGGTCACAATCTGAAGTCTGAAAAACACTATTATGTTCTGTAAGTGTGTAAGGGATATAAGGACAAGTAATGTAATGACATTGTTTGAACACAGTGGAAGTTCTTCATTGCCCAGTTAAATGGATTTGGAACTATGGGCATTTCCTTTGCAGTGCATCCAAAAACTGATGCTAGAACTGTAGTTTGAGCCCAAAAGATCTACCTGCTGCAAATCTGGGTGGGAATGGAGATCTCATTTCTTTTTACTTTTGACAGCATGGGAAGCAGATGAAGCAGCTTGACGCTACTTTGATTCCAATCAAGTCAGTTGTCAAAATGACTTCACTATAGTATAAGTTTTAGGTTAAGTGCTGTTTTGCCTTGTAATTTTAGGTTAAACTTATCTTAAAAACATATCAAGTCTAAGGAAAAGCTAATTTCCAAAGCTACTCAGTATTTCAAAACAATGGTTGAGGGTGGGTTTTTTTGTTCAGAAATATTTCAATCTTGGCTGTTTGTTCAAAATATCACAATAAAATGTTACCACTGCAAAACCACTGACTGGCTGTATGGTATGGCAAGTCAGGATATTCAGCTTTGATTTCTGACAAAAGTTCATGGAAATGATAGCAGTTGTTTCCACGAGAAAGAATGAAGTTAAACATTGATACTACTGGTTCAACACAAGATAGATTCAAATATTTGCTGCAAACTACCTGCTGATTAATAAGACAATGAATATCTATAGGCTTTAAGCACCTGATATTTTCACATGATTTGTAAATCTGTCCAACTAAGCCTTTTCCTGCTACATACATATTTTTACCACTCTCAACTGTAATATATCTTCGCAGATTCCAATTCAGGTTGTACCAAATTGGTGTTTTCTCACCTTCTTTGAAAATATTATTGATTACAATTATTCCATGCAAACTATTCACAGAGGCTAATTCCTCAATTACTTCAAACTCAGCACTGATTCCTCAAATAACAGCCACTGAGTAGAATCAGTAACATCTTTCAACTCAAGAGCCAAAGAAAACCACTCAAAATCGTTTCAGTGGTTTTATAATCAACCATTGATGCTGCTCCCAAAGTCCTCAATTCTTTGAGCAACTGTTTTCACCAAAAGGCTAACAGTCTTAGACAAGTCTGTTTTCTGTGGACACATTTCTTTGGCTGCTGCACTCAAACATGATTTAATTAACTCAATGTCGGTAAATCGCTTTTCTTGCTTGGCTAACAAATGAGCCACTCAAGAACTTAAAACAGTTTCAGCCTCATTTTTATTTTTTATTTTTGTGAAGAAATTCTGCTGTGATGAGATATTCTGTTTTAAATTTTCTAACTTTTCTGGCCGCTGCTTTCCTGTGAGTTGGGAATGCTGTCATGAGTGCTCTGTTCAGCAAGGTGGATGTTTACTGTATTCCATCAGTACCTTTCTAGTGCAGCTGCATAGTAAACACCATGCTGTTATTTAACTCTCTAACAAAATAATCCACACGCTACCGGGCCTTAAAAGCATGATATCTGATCTCTACTTTTCTCTTCTTCCCTAATTTTGATACGATGCATTTGCACTATTAATAAAAATAACAGTAAAATGTCACAGTACAGCGATATGTATAGCACTTGAAATGCTGTCACGTTATGTCACTGCAATTTGTAGTCTGCTGAGCAGCAGTGCACAGGGATGAGAGTAACACATACAGTGTGCTACCCTCTGTCACAGTGCCATTCTCCGTCACAACTAGTCAACTCTGCCATTGTAGCACAAAAGCAGCCGCAGACAATACATAAATCAATGGACACGGCTGTGTTCTAATAAAACTTTATAGACACTGAAATTTGAATTTTATATAATATTCAAATGTCACAAAATATCTTCTTTTCATTTTTTTTTTAATATAAAAACAATTCTTAGCTTGCAGGCTGCACAAGAAAAGGTGGTGGGCCAGATTTGAGCTGCAGGCCGTAGTTTGCCAAAATCTGATCTATGAGAGAAGAACTCCAAGATATGCAGTGTTATTCACCCTCAGAAGCAGCAGGCTCATATACCTAACCCATCAAATGGATCACGTGACAATTCAAACCCAACATATATCAAATTATACTAATCATCTCCTCCCTACTCTAAATTTTCTCTTCCTCCTATATTCGCCAACTCAGTTCACCAACTACTAACCACTGAATCCCACAAGTCAGACACTGGAAAACTGGGAATCATTCTGATTTCTCTCTCCTCCACGGACATCCACTCAAACACATAAAGTTCTGATTATTTTACCTCCTAAATAGTACCTGAAACCATCCCCTCCCTCTTCATCCCCACTAGGACATTATCACCTTCATTCAAGCCCTCATTATCTGTCACCTGAATATTGTAAAAGTCTCCTAACTAGTCTCCTTGCCTCTCGTTTTGCCCCCGGAATCCATCCTCCACACCGCTGCCAGGACGTTCAATGTAAAATATAAAACTGATTATCGCACTCTCCTGAAAACCCTTCTTGAAATTAGAATAAAATCTGAACTGCTCAGCATGGTCCACACTCTGGACGCCTCACTTCATACCTCTCTCCCCTTCGTTACTGAATCACACACTCGCCTTTCTCTCATCCCTCAGACAACCCTAGTCCTTTCCCACCACAAACACTTCCACAGTCTTACAACGGCAGTTTTCAAACCTTGCTCTGTGAGAGACCCCTGAATAATTAATTATGAGGGAAGGTGGAAGGAGGAAGCTAAGAAATCAATTGGGGCAGTTCCATTTCTATATGCTTTATTGTGTGGTCTTTCAGATATAACGTCATTTTAAAAAACGCAAATGCCAAGAGTTCCATGACCAAAAAACAATTTGTTTTTAAAAAGCATGGTTGTGCAAGTCTAATTTCCTTACCATAACATATAAGGTGCTACATGACGTGACTCTCTAAATCTCTTCCCCTCATCCCCAAGCCTCTCATTCCATCCTCCATCAATACGAATATGACAAGCTGCTTCACGTGTCTATGCTTTTTCTCACCAAGCCCTCTCTGCCTCTTCTCCCTTCTTGGTTTAGCTAACGTACATTTGTCTTAGAAGATAGCTCTCATTGACTTCATACCTTTGAATAAATGTTGTATTTTCTTCATCTGAAATAATCTGAAAATATTATTTACTTGATTTTGGACTTATTGTCTGGCTCCCTTCATGAGAATTAAGAACAGTAAGAAAAGAGATCCTTTGTTTTATTCACTACTGAACCTCCTGAATCTAGAGAATAGTGCTGAGCACACAGCACACATCCAATAAATATTTATCAAATGAATGAAAAATGTTTATTAATTTTATATTCTAGTACATAGTGTAGTGTCTGGCACATAGCAGGAACTCAACACATACTAAAAAATAAATCTTCGAATAAAAAGTGGGGTCAGAAAATGAAGAGCCTTGAATAACAGGCCAAGCAGTTGTACACTCGACTGTGGTTGATTTCATCTCATTTTCCTACTTACTTGTTCTCTTCAATCTCCAACTGGCAGTGCTTCTAACATTTTGATTTTCCTCCAAGTTCTTTCCCAGCTTCTTTTGTCAAGTAGTTCATGATGTCAATATAAAATTAGATATAGCCTAGATTTTAAATGTGGCTCTACTTAAAGTAGCACATGACCACTTTGAAAAATATGTAAAATTCCAAATAGTAACGGAATTCCAAATAGTAATAATAATACAAATAAAATATATTGGGAAAACCATGAACAGAAAAAATTCTGAGCACCTTCTATAGAATTTAAATCTTTTGGATTTGGTGTTGACTTGCTTATTAAAAAATATAAAAATTTTCAATGGAAAGGTATTGAATTACCCAGGAAAAAAAAAATCACACATCAAATAAACTTATACTCTGAAATTCAGTGGTTTTCTATATAACATCCACATTTAAATGTTTAAAAGAAAATAATGTTAAATTCTCCCCCCAAAATTAATAAGAATACAGTAACAAAATAAAACAATTCTTACCAAGTTATTGTCATCCTGGAAAGCATAATGCAAAGTTGTAATCCATTTATTATCTCCATTCACTAATACATCCCTTTCTTCACGGAAACATGCTGTCTGAAAAGGAAAAAAAATTTTTTTTGATAAAGAACACAATGTAAAACTAGGCAATATATTATGCAAACAATCACTTAATATGTTTATTATGCTTTCTGTTCTGGAAAAGGAATACATCCAGTATTATATGACTTTTCAACAACTCAAGTTTCAAAGCACCCTCAGAAACTGGACAACCGGAATAGTACATTTAAAAAATATTTTATATTAAAAATACCATTATAGTTCAAAAAAAATCTGAAAAATGCACAGAATTATTTAATTAATAACTATGGCCCAACCTACCATCTAGATAATATAAATATCAACATTTTGCTATATTCAGTTCTGATCTTTTTATTTTTTAAGGAAATAAGATACAAGTTGCGGCCTTCCTACTCCTATGCCATTCTCCTCCCTCCTTCCCCTGATATAATGAATAATCTGCAGTTAGTGTATATTCCTCCCATCATATGCTTTGATCACACATGTGTGTGTCCAAAACCAATAGCATTGTTTTGAAATTTTACATGAATGGTATAGTTTTATCCTTTTGCAACTTGATCACTTTTTACTCAATAATAGCTGTCTTCCTTTTAATTGTTATGGTATTCCATTGTTGGAACATACCAGAATTTACTTATGTAACCCTACAATTATGAAAACACAGGTAATTTACAATTTTGTGTTATTACAATGTTGCAGTGAATATATCTGTACAAATGTACAAGAGTTTCTCTAGGGTATACACTTAGAAGTGGAAATGCTAGATATACGCATTTTCAACTTCATCAAATATAGCCAATTTTCTTTTTTGCCCACATCCTCAACTGCACTTAGCATGATTAGACTTTTAAGCGTTTGTCAACATGATGGATGCGAAATATCTCCTTGTTCTTTTTTTTTAACATATTCCTAATTACAGGTGCAGATAAATAGCTTTACATACACTTATCAGGCCTCTGAGCTTTCTCTTTGAATTGTTCACTCCCTTTGCTCATTTCCTCTAATTCTCTTTTTCTTGTTGATTTGCAAGTTTTAATTTATTCTGAGACTATATTACCACCATTATAAAGATATATCCTGGGGAACCTTAGAAATGTGTGGGCAAAAATAAAAAATAATTTCACATGATATATAATTGTATAATACATCATCTTTAAATCTTTAATTAAAAAAGCTCCGCTATGCCAGCAAGTCCCACCAGAACTGAAAGTCTGTCAGTCACGCCCCTGTACTTTCACTGTCCACTTGTTGTGTCCAGAGGTTACCACCATTAACTCCTTGTTGAGTATCTTCTCACGAAATTGCTGTGCATACATAATCATACAGACACACATATTATATATTCACGTAGTATCCCATCTCCCCTATCTTTTCTTTTCTTTACACAAATGAGACCACAGTGCTCTGTAAGTTGTTTTTTTCAAGTAACAATATACCTGAACAACTTTCCATACCAGTACATGGAGATCTACCTAATTTTCTTGATGGCTGTACCATATTCCATACACACTGAAAAATCATCATACAGCATTCTATATATGGTAGGTGCTTAGTAACTTATTTACCACAAGGAAAATTCAATAACCATGATACGCAAAACAGTTAACATTATTAGGCCATTACCCTAATTTTTTCCCACGTATTTCCATAAATTTTATTGATCAAATAGAATTTCCGAAGCCATGCATTAAATAGCATTACCAGAGAAAATACTGAAAACAGTTAAAGCTTAAACCAAATGAGTAGTTTTACAGGCAGTTTTACCTGTCAATTAGATTATTAAAATCTACAACACGCTTTAGTTCACTTTAAGGGGAAAACAGAATCATTTGACATATCTACCATTAAATTCTGCTTTAGAATTTAACTGACCTGAGGTTACGGTTTGCTGCTAACATTTTAGAGAGGTGGTGAAGGCTGTCAGAGCCCAGGAGACTCTTTTCTCCCGGCTTTATCTTACTATGACAACTATCTGGAATTTTACAGACATTCCTGCTAGAATCTAATAAACATTTGATTAATGACTCCAAACTAAATAAAGCTCCAAAGATTTTTTGTTCAACAGAACAGATTAAACTTTAAGTAGATTCTAATCTATGCTAAACAGTTCAGTGAAAAACTAATTTTTAAAAATAAAAAATATAAAATAAACTGTTTATGATATAAAACTTCAAACATATATAGGAAAGAAGAGTACCACAACCCCCTCCCCCCAACACACCCATCAACCAACTTCAACAATTATTTTATTGTTCAATCTGTTTCATCTACACCCTCACCGGCTTACCACCACCCTCCTTCCACATGTATATGTGCTCACACACATGTGTATACACACACATAAAGGATTTTTTTAAAGTAAATCCCAGACATCAGAAGATTTTATCTGTCAACATTTAGCTATTAAACTATCTCTATTAATGCCTCAGATAATGAGCTTAGATGTGAAGTGCAGTCTCGTTTTTTGCTTCAATATGTCACATTGTCCTCAGTTGGTTGTCACAACTGGTGGGAGGGATGCTACTGGCATCTAGTGGGACGAGGCCAGGGATGCTGCCACACATCCTACAATGCACAGGGGAGCCCCCAAAAGGAATTATCTGGCCCCAAAAGTCACAAGTGCCACTCCTGAGACCTTGTTCTAGATTAACATTAACTAAACCATGATGCATGCATACCATGGGGTTCATTAAGTTATGCCAATGATTCACCATGGTGAAAGCTATAATGATGTCTACTTCAACTAACATTTTTTTAAAAATTAAAGATTTTTTTAAAATTCCCCTTTAAAAGCAGAATATTTGAGTCTGTAAGAATGTAACAAACATGTGGGAGGGGTTACTGGATGCTACACAACCTCTTCAGATTCTGTCACTCACTTTCTATTCAACCGAACATTCCGCTTGCCACAGGAATGTTCAATTTGTTCAAGACAATTTGGCAATAGCTATCAAAGTTTAAATGTATACCTACCCATCCTCCCCAACCCAGGAGTTCCACTATCGACAAATTTCATCTGGGGAGTAGGTAAATTCTAGAGTCAGCACAACGTGAAAATCTCTTAGTATAAAAATTACCCTTAAAATCCCTTCAACCTCAGTGTACACAAATGGGAGTACCTCAGCGTAGCCAACAGCAACATCTCTGATTAACAGCGTTTCATAGTCCCTTTTATTTTTATTTTACATTGCATATACTTCTTAGGTGGCATAACTAGTCCTGATGCACTATTTTCTCTCTTGTTTTGAAATTGCTCTTTGCCAATAACACATATTTAGATTTGGTGAAATAATTAAATGTATAGTCCACCTTACTAAAATTCACACTTTGGATAAACTTGCAAAAGTACTCCAAAATACTCCAAAATGTATAAAGATTTTTACCACAGAATAGTTCAAAATAGTAAAAAGGTAGAAACAACCTAAATGGTCATCAATGTTTTTTAAAAAAATCATGCTACTAAAAACATATCCATTTAGTATAATGAAGCTAATAAAAAGAAGATAAATGTATAAATATGGAAATGGAAAAATCCAATATATATTACTAAATGATAAAAGAAATGTGAAAAATAAGTCTTTTGATATGATTCCATTACAGTAAAATTTTCTATTAAAGATAAATAGAAACTCTTAATAATGATTTACTTCGGGCAGAAAGACTGGATATCTGGGGGAGAAGAGGGAGTTTTCATTTTCCTACTTTTTACTTTCTATAGCGTTGCATTTTCTGTTGATGTAGGTGGCCGGTCAGCAAGCAGAGGCAGTTCACATCTAATGACCTCAGTTCATCACTACTACTACTACCGGCACCGACAACTATAAAAATAATAAAACAGCGATAACAAAAATAAGACAACAGGCATAAACCAGTACTGTCACAGTAAACTAAGATATATTATTACTCCACTTATGAGGTAGAAAGCATTATTATCTTTATTTAATAAAGGAGATAACTGAGACTTAGAAAGGTTTAACTCCCCAGATGGAGAATATTTCTGTAAACTGTACTGCATCTCCCAATGAAATGAGTAAGGACATCTCCTGTATGAGTGAAGTCAGAAAGAGCTGAGTAGGGCCGGCCCGGGGGCTTAGCAGTTAAGTGCGTGCGCTCCGCTACTGGCGGCCCTGGTTCGGATCCCGGGCGTGCACTGATGCACCGCTTGTCCCGCCATGCTGAGGCCACGTCCCGCTTACAGCAACTAGAAGGATGTGCAACTATGACATACAACTATCTATTGGGGCTTTGGGGAAGAAAAAAAGGAGGAGGATTGGCAATAGATGTTAGCTCAGAGCCGGTCTTCCTCAGCAAAAAGAGGAGGATTAGCACGGATGTTAGCTCAGGGCTGATCTTCCTCAAAAAAAAAAAGAAAGAAAGAAAGAGCCGAGTAAATTTGAAAAGAAGGTAAAATTTACAGAATAGATTGGGGGAAATTAACTGAAAGGACTACTGATGCACTACCCCAGTTTGTAAATGATGTATCTGTAGGAGTATCCATCTCTGTAACTGTAAGATTATTTAGCAATTATTCAGCTGCTAGGTATAGAAAGAAAGAAGGTTTCCTAGTACCTTCAAATAATCCACGTCCCACTAATTATATATTTGTTATATACCTTAAATAGAAATAAATATGGCAGATAGGTTAAAGGTAGATCTCTGAAAAACTGTTTTCAAGTATCAACAATACACATTAAAAAAAACAAGAAATTCTGCTACTCATTTCTAATTTATTAAGTGTCATTGATAGGCCCAGTTTTCCAAAGTCGGATAAGTCATGGTCACAACGGGTTTTTTAAATGTTTTTAAAAAAGGATTTGATAATTCAAGCATAGAAATACAATTCCACTCTACTTTAAAATGAATTCTTTAGAAGTGCAATGTAGAGTTTTTCCCTAAAAGATAAAAGTTTCAAATAGTTGAGGTGAGTTCCTTTCGTATATTGAACCAGTCTTGTATCCCTGAAATAAACCTCAGGTGGTCATGGTGTGTAATACTTTTCATATATTGCTGAATTCTATTTGCTAATATTTTGTTAAGGATCACTAAAGCTATGTCTATGAGGCACACTGGTCTTGAATTTTCTTTGTATGGCCCTTGTCTGTTTTTTCCATCAGAATAATACTGACTTCATAGAAGCAGCGTTGTTCCTTGGGCCCTGACGTCGCAGTCTCGTCTACCCTCTTCTCTTGCCTTTCAGAGTCTTCTCATGTTGGTTTTTACATATAATGTCCAGGCTCCTTAGTGTACTTAACGGGAGAGACAGGGAGAAGTACATCTACTCCACCTTCCCCCAGAAACAATATATTATGCTTTTTAACTCAACAAGATAATATTTAATTTCAATTATTCCCTGTTTTATCCTCTATTTTGCCACTTCTTCCAGTCAGTAGTGAAAACTAACCCAGTTATCTTTCCCTTTCACAATTCTTCCCCAATATATCCAACTTCATAAAAAATAAGTACAAACGAACTCAATTTTAAAAAGTTCTCTCTCTGAAACTCTAAACTGACCACTATTACTCCTGTGAAACAATTAGAACATACCTATTTACTATTTCTTAATAAGAAGACATGCTGCTCCAGCTGCTGGCAAGGCTGTCAGCCCCCCAGGGTTTGCTTCAGCTGCACAGAGCCCGCTAGTCCAAGGCCACGTCCTTCTGGAGGCGGCCCATATCCAGTGACGGACTGGGGCAAGTGCAGAAAGGCCAGTCATTTGGCCCAAAGCAGGACAACTCCAAAAGACCATTTCCGCTCCACAGCTCCCTGCTGGATCAACTGAGGCTGGGGGACAGCTTGACTTCTCCTGACAAATCATGTTTCCCTCCCTTCCCTCCTACAACTGTTGATTTCAGAAGGACTCCCTAATAAATATACTGCACACTAAACTCATTCTCAGTGTTGACCACCTGGAAAATCCAACCAGAGACAGCAAGGCAATTCAGCCTTTGGGAAATTCAGAAACAAAGACTGAAGTTATTGAATACAATGGGCACTGGCACATATGCCAGAGTGACATAAAAGTTTCCAGATACTTTTTAAAACAGGATATTACTACATAGTAATTGCCTCTGGGAGGTAGAGAGAAGGGCTGGGCCTGGGTGGGGTGTAGTCACAGTACTTTAGCTTTATCTTTAATGTGCTATTATTTGTTTCACAAAGAATATATTTGTATTTCACTCGTACAGTTTTCTTCAGTAGACACAGAGAAAAAAGACTGAAAGCAAAAACTTGCCCAAAATGTTACTGATTAATTCTAGACGATAGAATGCAAGTGATTATTAGTTTCTTCTTTGTGTCTTATTATATTTTTCAAATTTCCCAAAGGAAAGAAATAACGAAGTATTTCACTACCACTGTATCCATCATCGTGGGAACCTTTTGCTTTTCCCTCTCTGTCTGTTCCTTTTCAAGTTGCTACAAGCAATGGGAGATAAAGAAAGATTTCTAAGGGCTAATTTCTCATTATCCTCTTATGGATCTTACTAACCTCCAGGGCTAACACTCAGCCTACTCAGCAGTACAACCACTCTGTACGTTAAAATATTGAAATACTTCCACATCAGTAAGTCATACTTCCCTGAGGCCCCTGGGTGCCCTACCCCATCCAGCCACTCACTATTATCCAGCACAGCAGGAGACATCCAGAACCCCCCCTCAAGTTTACGTGTAATATCAGCTCTGACCAGACCATCCCACCTATTAGATATTTTTCACATCACTTCAGCCAATCTTTCCCTCAAATCTAGCACCAATATAATAATGCTGACAATTCTTGTAATACTAGATTTTACTACCATTCTTTAATAATATAAAACAAAATATAAATTTTACTGCATAATCAGCAATAAAAAGAATTCTGAGAGGATGTATTCAAAACTCCTGCTGACTTTTGCTTAGAGCAGAATACAGATAAATACAAAATAATATAAACAAGTTATGTCAAATTAGGAATTAATAAATACAAAACTTCTTCCTATAAAAGAAACTGGTTTCCACAAACCCTTTTAACATAAATGTATAAGCCCCGCATTACAAGGGTTTCCATTTGGTTTTCAGACAATACTAAATTAGCATTACAAATTATAACTTTTATCATAACTATATCACAATTGTGAATTGCTGAATTTGTCTCTTAGGCTTAAAATATAATGCATCACAGATAAAACGTTACTAGATGATAGTTAAAGATCTATTGGCTCTCTATAATTTTATAGTTCTCTACAAATCTTTCTAAAATATTATTTAAATATTCCAATAATTAGAATCTTACCTCAGCTCTTTTCAGCATTTCCCATTTATTCAATATTTTCATTGCAAATACTTTATCTGCATTTTTCAGTTTCACTACAGCAACCTAGAAAAAGAAACACAACTTTTAAAATATGACAAATAATATTTTTTTCAGTCAACCATTTTCCTTTTTCCTCTCTGTAAAAAAATAAATACCAAAATTATCAATGATTTCCATGCAGTTCAAATTCTAAGATCCTAAATCAAATAATATTGTCAGTTGAAAAAGTTACGTTACAGAATATGTGCCAAACAACTGTATTTCTGAACACTGTATCAGTTGGTGATTATATATTATAGTCTGCTTTTCAAGTTTTTTGCCCTACAATTTAAACTCAACAACTATTATCACTGAGAAATTGACCAAAATGTACAACAGGAAATAACTAGAGCTTATTAAATAATGCATGTTGAATTCTAACACGATGCTACAAGGAATGCCAGCTGCCAAAACAAATATGTTTTGTAGGGATCAAACAATACAAAGTAAACTGAACATGATACTATTTTATCATAGTATCACACCACACAGTCTTACACATGATACCACAACCCCCAATACATACACACACACACACACACACACACACACACCCCGCCCTAAAGATCAGTTAAAGCTAACAGCTTTACTAATTGTTGACTTTACACATTCCTTTCCAACAAAAAAAAAGAACAGATATTTCTGTATTTTGTATTTTAATTATGGATCAAAGAACTGTCAAATACAAATAAATAAGCCCACATTCTCACCCTCAACAAACTGATTACATTGCTGTTTCTACTCTTCTGCTTCAGTTTGACTCGACAATCTCTAGGGGACCCTCCCAGCTCATTGGGGATGCGACAGGGCTGAGACTGAACTACAGAAGAGGAGATGAAGGTTCAGTGAGGATGTTTCCGTTATCAGGGGCTGTGGAAGGGGAAGACAAATACTACCCTAATATGCAGGTGAGAACAAAGTATATACAGTATACCTTCAAACAGTTCAGAGGGATAGTTCTAAGGATATAGAATAGGTTTAAACTCAAGTACCATAATTTTTAAAATCTTAATAGCAAATGTACATATCAAGTGCATTTAAATAAATTTATATTTGGATCAGATTGCAATAAAAGTCATATGACCATATAATTAAAATCAGCTTATAATACTATAATACTATATAAACTAGAACATCTCTTGGTAATTGTCATAAACGGTTATATGACTGTGATTACAGTGTTTCATCAATTAAAATGGTAGGAAGAAAGAGGAAATATCTTAATTTCAAATGCAATCACTTTAGTCTTTAGTTCTATCTGGTCATATCTGGAGAAAAGATGGGTCAGTTAAATTGTTCTTCCAATGGGCTTACGCTTAAAGAAAAGGGGCTGTACAAGACATAGAAGCAAACTAAATGTCCATTGACAGATGAATGGATAAAGAAAATGTGGCATGCATATGTATATACAATGGAATATCATTCAGCTATAAAAAAGGAGATCCTGCTTTTGCGACAACATGGATGAACCTGGAGGACATTATGCTAAGTGAAATAAGCCAGACACAGAAAGAAAATCAGTGTATGATCTCACTTATATGTGGAACCTAAAAAAGCCAAACTCATAGAAACAGAGAGTAGAAGGATGGTTGCCAGGGGCTGGGGGGTAGGAGAAATGGGGAGATGTTAGTCAAAGAATACAAACTTCCAGTTATAAAATGAGTAAGTTCTGGGGATCTAATGTATAGCATGGCGACACAGTTAGCAACACTGTATTACATGCCTGAAAGTTGCTAAGAGAGTAGATCTTAAATATTCTCACCACAAAAAAAAAAAAAAGTTAATTATGTGAGGTGATGGAGGTGTTAACCTTACTGTGCTAATCATTTTGCAATATATACATGTATCAAATCATCACTTTGTACACCTTAAACTTACATAACCTTATATGTCAATTATATCTCAATAAAGCTGGAAAAAAAATAAAGAAAGGGGGCTGTAATAAAGAGCAAGGAAAAACTTGCGACACTAAGATCTCTGAAAGGCTGAAAACACAAATTTAGCTACTCTGTAGACTCAAATAATATGTTGCATAATTGGGAGTGCAAATGGACAGAAGGACAGGAGCACTGAGCTAGACACCCACATTTAGGACAGGGAAGACACACGGAAGGCTATCACTTAAGTCTTTTCTTATTCTGACTTAGGGAAGAACGGCTGAAAGACTCCAACACTTAGACATCTTCCCTTCCTCAGGTCAAGACATGAGAAAGGGACTCCTAGCACTGTGTGACTCACCAATTTTCTACGTGTATGGGTATATAAGTATCTGATGATTTATAGTAGTAGTAGTAGTAGTAGTATCCACCAACACATACGGAGTGCGCTCTAAATGCCAAGTACTCTACTAAGAGTTTTATGCAGGTCTACAATTCCTTACCTGCAGTTCTAAAAGCCAAAAGAATTTTACAATTCATTTGGCAGCACGTACTGACACCAGGCTAATTATAGTTTTTTGTTTTTTTAATGTCACTTAATGTAAAGACAAACATGCTTCATTGCAGAAACACTAATGCCTTTGCTCATTAAGTGCTGCTTCAAACCCCAATAGGAGTGCTATATGAAATAGAGTATACGCACTAAGCTATATAAAATAGAATATATGCACTAAATTATCTTTCTAAAAGCCAAAAAACATCAGAACCAAAACCACCTCTGGATTATAGAGCTGTGCAGTAGAAATAAACTAGGACTTACTGAACCCTCCAACTCCGAGCTAGCATTTATTGTGGCTGTTCAGGGTGGTAGTGACAGCATGGACTCTGCAGCCTGACTACGTGGGTTTGAGTCCTGGCTCTGTCATTAGCTGCATAACTCTGGGCAAATAACCTAACCTCTTAAAACTTCAGTTTTCTCATCAATATAACAGAGTTAATAACAGTACTTATCTGTTAATAACAGTACTTACCTTATATAACTGTAGTAAAGATTAAAATAATTAATATAAGTATAAAGTGCCTAGGACAGGGTCTGGCACTTAGGAGAATTCACTAAGCATTAGCTGTTACTAAGTCAGGCCTTGCACGAAGCACATGAGAGTCCCATCTCTGAACTGGCCCTTGCTCTACCACTAATATGTAGCAGGCATTACACATCTCAATTTCTTCAATTTCTTTAACTACGAAATAAGAAACTTTGATCTCTTCAACTTACAACTTTCTATAATTTTATTATATATAGAAATATAGCTAGAAATATCCTCAATTGAAAATATATACAAATAAAAACTAAGCCACAATATTTACTATAGAGTGGTTTCCAAAAGTAAAATATTGGAAATAAATATTCTGAAAGATGAAATTGACCAAATATGATATATCATAAAATGATAGAAAATTATTCATATTCTCGAAAATATTGCTAAAGAATACTATTTAATAGAGAAAAGTTCACAACATACTGTTTAAAAGAAATTTATTGAAGTTTGTACACTGATTATTTTTTCTATATATACACATAAAATATATACCTACAAATTTCCATGCCATATGTATGTACCAAAATATTACAAAATCAGGTATTTCCAGGTATTCACCATTTCTATTCACCATTCTACACTTTCTGTACAGAACATGCAAAATTGAAGCATGGAATGGGATACTGTGAAATACCACACCTCATCTTGGCCATGAAATGACTACTAATTATTGAGGTATTGTAGTGTGGCAGAAAAGGGCCAAAATGAGACCCATTCTACACGTTTATGTGGTCATCAGGAATGCCATGCTGCTGCAGGGTGAAAAACATTCTCAAAGCTATCTTATAACAGTTTCACGAGCTGCCTAAAAACTTTTCTAAAATGAGGTGGGATGTGGTGAAATAAAGAATGTCAGTTCAGGAAATATTCTTTTTTTTTTCGTGAGAAAGATTAGCTCTGAGCTAACATTCGTTGCCAATCTTCCTCTTTTTGCTGAGGAAGATTGGCCCTGAGCTAACATCTGTGCCCACCTTCCTCTATTTTATATGTGGGACGCTGCCACAGCAGGCTTGATAAGGGGTGCGTAGGACTGCACCCAGGATCCAAACCTGCAAACCCTGGGCCGCTAAAGCAGAGCGCGTGAACCTAACCACTACGCAACCGGGCCGGCCCCAGGAAATAACCCTGAATTATCAACTTGATGACACGATGAGACAAGAATATGAAGCTGATGGAGTGATAAAATAAAATAAAATTGATCTTGTTCTTCTTCTTTAACACTACAGATCATTTTCATGTTCATTTCAGTAGAAGAAAACTAAAAAAAACAGGATTCTCCTAGAACTCTAACTTCAGGTTCTATGTTTTTGAGAACCCTGGCTAACTGATACATAAGAGGGTAGTATGTTAAAATGTTCTTCCTTAATTTGATCAAAATGAAAAGTACATTTAGTATGGAGTGGAAGATTACAAACTTAACACAGAACAAAGACATATTTTTTAAAACACCAAACATAGAGATGTCTTTAAAGACTTTACCTTAAAAGCACTATGATGTTAGAAAAATTACAAACACTAGGCAAAAAATCAGTAAGTGACAAATGTAAAGGAATGTGTTCTTAAACAATTTAAGTATCATCACTTATAGCTACAACACATAACTTAGGAATGATGGCACCATATTGAATGGAATTTCAATGTCCAAGAAACAGTTGCCATGTAGTTCTGCAAATCTAGTCTATATTCAATATATCCAGAATTCACCACACCTCTTCTGGTCTATGCTATGCCAACCTACCATTATATCCTGCTGGATTGTCCTACCCAGCCTCTCTGCTTATGCCCTTACTCCCCACAATCTATTCTCAACAGGGCAGCCACAGTGATCCTGTTTAAACGTAGCTCTGATCATGACATTCCTCTACTCCAAAACTTCCAACAGTTTCCAATCTCTCTCCAAGTAAAAGTCAAAATCCTTACTATAACCTATAAGGGCAACATATTCCGGTCCTCCAACCTCCCAGATCTCATGCTAGTCTCCTCCTCACACTCTGCTCCGGACATACTGGTCACCTTGTTAACCGAACTCAGGGCTTCTGCACTTGCT